AGTGACTCAACCACCCACTCAACAGTCAAGATGAACAAAGCTTCACCCTAGTCACATCAAAACTGCAGGATTAAAAAATCCCTCCCCTAAATGACTCCCAGTACTAAGTACTGCTGAAGAATAACAGAGGGTTGAAAAAACAAAGCAGCAATCTTTTGTAAATCCAGAACCAGAGCAAAAGGACTGCCATAAAAAAAAAAAAAAATTTCTCTAAGACTTTGTGACTCTCTAATTTTTTTGTGAAGATAATTTGAAAAGAGTTCACAAGGGGAAAACTAGAATGAAAATGCTAGGAGACTATGCCTCAGTCTATTTTGTCCCCGTTTTGCCTCAGGACAGAACTTCCTTTGTCCTCAGTACATAGTCTCCTTGCTATATCCACGCAAATATATCAGTTATAACTGTGTATATAGACAGCTGCTGTTAAATATAATGTTAGCTAAAACAATTATTTTTCTATTGCAAACAGCAATCAATAGGTTTCAACTTCTATTGTTAGACCTATCTACCTATCCACCAAATTTATAAAAATTGCTAAATGTTTTTGTGCCTTGAAATACATTTCCTGTCTAAAAATGTAGGTCTGCATCTCTTCCCTTGCATAAAAATACCAACCACAGCACAGCATCAGCCTTTCTCCCAGTGCCACCGCGTTGCCATGGAAACTGGACCCGATTTCTACTGCCAGTATATGTTCCATGTAAGCAGGAAATGAGCTTAAGTAATATTTATATAATATGCAACAGAGAACAGATATACAACATTTAGATTTCATTGGAGGCCTCTAGACCGGCTGAAGCAGCTTTAAGTATTCTCAGATTGTTTCTATCAGACATTCAAAGTATATTTTTATTGCTAGCCTCAAAAGCATAGCATAGGAAATGCACACATATGTGAAATTCAGTATATTCCTTTCTCCTTGTTTTCACTCGAAAAGACAGACAAGCTCCACACTTCATAAGTAAACAAAATCATGTGTTGAGAAAAACTAGAAGTTAATTTATTCCTTTAAGAGCCTTACTCTCAAAAAAGCATGACAGGAGACTATAAAGGCTATTTCTTGTAACACAGTCCGAAATAAAGGAAAGCCAACCTAACCTTCAGTATTTCCCATGGCATTTCTTTTCTTCTCTTTCCTTCTGTCCCCTTTAAAAAAAATTCCTATAAAAATACTCCCATAAAAACACTGCCCCACAATTTTGGTGGGGGTTTGGTGTTGTTTTTTCCCTCTGAATACAAGCTGTGTATGCCCATAGTCATAGAAGGGACCTCTGGAGATCATCTAGTCCAACAGCCCTGCCGCTCCAGCTAAACCACCTAAAGTCAGCTATGCAGAACCATCTCCCAATGGCTTACTTGGAATGTCTCCAAGGATGGAGATTCTACCATGTCTCTCATGGGCAACCAACCCATGCTGGTGGTCAGTTTTCAGCACCAGGCATGAGATCAGGAGACACATTCAAACTTCTAAACAGCAAACAACCCACTGAATGATGGTCAAAATACATTTTCAATACCAAACCAACTTTGTTAGGCAGATTGGTGTAAAATGACATAACACAAAATACCTTTCAAACATACTTAAAGGGTTGGTAAACGATGCAGAGACTTTCACACAGAAGAAAAAAACTGATTTCCCTCAACTCCCTTAGACTCTCTCTCAGAACACATTTTCAAGGGTAACATGTTTTGAAAGTAATTACTGGTCTTAAGGAATTTTTTTTTTTTTTTTCCTTGGTCTGGAAGAATTTCTTACTAGAAATATTAGAGTGGGCGACAGAGGCTACATGAATTCTCTATGTGCAGACAACCTGAGAAAGACTCAAAAGCTGACTCAAATCCTTGATCTGCACAATCAGAAACAGAATTCTTACTTCAAGTAGATAGTTCCTCCCTGTATTATAAAGCCAATACCCAAAATCTATTCCTGAAGTCTTACGCTCTTTCTCAGCTATATAGCCTTGCTTCCAAACAAAATGCTTTAAAGTTGCAAACATTAACTGGAATTAATTATCTTGAGGGCAGAAACCCCATAAAAAGGAGCATACGCAGGAACTTGAGCACAACAATATTAGAAAGGCTATTCTGGGTCAGTCCAGTGATCCACACAGACCAATAATCTATATTTAGAAAAACAACTACATGCAGATGTCAAAGGAAAAACATAAGAGCAAATTAAGCACACAGGGATCCTTCCTCCTGTAAGCAGTTCTGTGGTCTCCAGAAAATGGCATCCCAGAGGCCACCACATGGGATTCCTGTGTGTTTAGTAACTACTCCCACCTGATGTTTACTCCATAAATCTGTCCAGTTCCCCTCTGAGCTAATGGAAACTTCTAACATCCATCTCGTATGGCACAGCATGAAATTCCAGAGCATACTTACACCTCTTCCAGATCATCATCACCTCGTGTTTGTTCTGTATCTGCCATCCCATAGCTTCAACTGATATCCTCTCTGATTCTTGTCCTGAAAGCCTGCAAACATTCATTCTGCAGTCACCTTCTTCCTGGCACACAACTTCAGAGACATCTACTGTACACCCTCTGCCATCTGTTTGTCAGCCTTGAAGATTCCTACTCAGTTTTGTCTATTCTCACAGGAAAGCTGCTCTATGACTCAAGATCCTGCCCTTCACTCTTCCCTGAACCCCGTCAAGCTGTATTCTTTATACCCAATATTCCATAGGCAATGTGTGGAGGGCATATATTTTGGTATAATGACATTTCCTACCATGCTGTCTCCTCCTTTATTTCTAATCATGTATTTGCCTCTTTATCACTACTGAACACAAAGCTGATGCTTTGTTAGGCTGAATTTAATTTGCCATTTTGACATCCAAAATGCTGGCATTGAGTATAGTGAACTGGGCCTGATGTAGTTTTTTTGACCGAGATCCACCAAGACAACATAGAAGAGAAGAAATGCACATACTTCCATCACATAATATAATCAAACTAAATTTCTTTGTATCTTTGGGAAAACAAAGATTTGATTGGTTTTTGGTTTGTTTCTAACATCCTAAGTCTATGACTAGCTCATATAACTGTGACTCCCCAGAACTGTATTTATTTTATAATGAGAGTGTGATTACAGTATGAGTTATTAGACCTTTAAATAGAAGTTGATTAATCAGTAGCTCTAAAAGGAAATGACATTTCCTTTTAAAATATCATTTTACATTAAAACAATTAGGTATCTCATGAATTTTAAATAAATAAGATTCTAGAATTGTAAAGAGACCTGAAATTAAAAATATTTACCAAAGCCATACACAAAGACTCCTGCTATGCTTTAGTTAACACTGGACAGTCCCACAAAACAGATGCTTTGCAAAATAATGCAGAAAAGACATATTCTTTGAAGTAATTTTATATTTGAATCAAATATACTACTCAGGTACTCTTGAAAAAAACATATGCAATTTATAATATAACCTGGGACTTCAAAATAGTTATCTCTAAACTTAAATTTCTATGGATGTGATGAAATAATTGCAATTGACAGGAAGAAAGTATCAACATAAAATACTAGGTAGTACAGACTAAATTAGAAAATAATAGTGTTCATAACTGCAATTCTGAAGCCATATGCCAGGAAGATAAAATGTACCTACTTAATTTAGAAAGGTGAAGAGAATAAAACCTAGAACTTAGAAGCCTAGTTGACTTCACCTGTCAATTACAATGGCAGAAAAAAGGGGCAACTTACTCTTTAGGTGACTACTAAAAATAGGTATTTAATTTCAAATGAATGAGTGCTGTATTAATAAATGAATACACCTTATTAAAAATAATTTTTCTTTTTATGGGGTGATTATAACAACTGAGATATACGGTTGCTTAAATTTCAGTGATAACTGTTTATACTCCCCGAATATGAATTAACAAAACAATGAACAAAATTAAGTTTTGATCAGAAAAAAATATACTTCTCTGAAAACAGCTGCACTAAAAATATCCTAGGGACAATGGGTAAAGATAATTGAGAACAATTTTAAAATCAATCATTTGGGCTTTACTGTTAGCTATTTGCAGAAGCCAAAAATCAGTGTAGGCCAGACAGCTCCAAGTTTACAGCAGATTTTGGCTTAGCAGACTAGAAAAGATAGCAGTTTCTTCAAGCAATTTATAAATTACTAGAAGACTTCCCTGCATTTGTAGCAAGGCAATATATTGAAAATATTAAGTTTTGCAGTGCAGTATGTTTTAATTTCACTTCATTATTAAGACTGCAAAGAAATCTCGACTTTATAATGCTATTCATTATTTTTAAGGTGATCAGAATATATCCAAATGAAGATCCTACAAAATGGTAGCAAGCTGCAACTTAATCCAATAACATAAAAAAGTAATTTTCCCTTCAGCTATTTCTTTACAGACTGCTATTCTCAGAGATGCCTGTTATTTACCTATTTACCATTAAAAAAAAAGTAAAAAATCTTTATGAATCATTATGATCTATAAAAATTAATAATGAACTGATTCTAGTTTGAAAGCAGCTGCTTCTTCATGCAAATGAGAACTCCAGTACCAGAGACATCTTTGTTCACAGTCTGAACATTCAGCAGCATTCTCAGCTGTACCTTCCACAAAAGGTGTACTTTCCACTGCACATGAACAATGTACATTTGTCAATAGTGTGAGGAATTTTAAGATCAACTGGACAAAAGGATAAGATCATTGTAATAAATACAACTAAATGAATAGGAATGAATCCTTAAATTAAAACTGCTTTTTAAATATAAAATACTTGTTTGCACTTAAAATTCATGGTAAACCTCAGGAAGTTTGCTCTTTCTTAAAATTCTTTGTTCTGTCAGATCTCTCTGGAAAAAGTACAACACTACCTTAAGTTCTAACACAAAATCACATGTATTTGAAATAGTTTCAAAATGCATTGCCTAATAATCAATGACCAGAAGCAAAACTGTTATAAGGAAGTGGATTTTGAGACCCATGCATATTTGGTGTTTGGTTTTTGGTTTTGTTTTTTTTTTAACCTGTAGAATAAAATGCCAATGTAAGTTAGGCCAAAGACAGGTGAAGGAATACTTCCCTGCTGATCTTCAAGGCTTTGCTCACTCCTGCCTCTCCACACAGAGCCTTCAGCTGACCAGCCCGGCAAAAGCAGAAAACAGTCATAAGATATAAACAGGAAGATACATTCATTTATTTCCTGTAAATTTTCTGACTCTGCTAAATGTTTCGATCAATTAAAGGAAAACAGATGTCAGAAATGTGACTTAGCTCACGTTTTCTTGCCTGGTTTTGAACTGTGACTGGAACTGCAGGTACCACAGCCTCCACTAATAAAAAGGCTTTTGGTTTAAGAGTAGCAATGACAGCAAGAGAAGTGTGTAGGTACAAAGATTTTACTTCAGTTGTGAGGCAAAAAAACCCTACATTGTTTTGCTCCTTCAGCCTCTGCTCTTCCTTTTTTGCCATTTATTTCAGGCATTTATCTCTGGTAACTGTATTTATTATTCAGTTAAGCGATACACCATCCCCATGAAAGTAAACCACAATCTTCCTCATAAAACGTCAGGAGTAGACAAAAATTAAGCACTGCCTCTCCCCTTTTGCAAAGTATAGCCTGGTAAAGGGCCTATGAAAAACTAATTTGCAAAACAGGGTCCCTAAAACCCTCAACCCTGTATGTAAAGGAAGGACCAGGATGCAGTATCACTCTGGGTACTGCAACAAAATGAGAATGTCAAGAATACACATATACACAAGCAAAGGAACATGCAAGCACAACACCAACACATATGCCTCAAAAAATATGCAATTTTGAGAGGTTTTTTTTTACCTTTTCAAAAAACAGATTTGATACACAGCCATCACACAATTTCTAAGCTCCAGATGTGCTTTAGCACAGCTCTGTCAGATATAATGAAAGCAAAATATAATCATACTGACTCTGTAGATGACAAAATTTTGTAGCAAAATTTTGTTCAGGTTGAGGGAATTCTCAGGAACCAGAAACAATGTGAGCAAAACTTCTGTTACAGTTTTTAAAGAATAGGGCCATAATTTGCATTGTAATCAATGTGCAGTGCAAAACATATGTAGACTCCACAGTGAAATAAAGAGTATTATTTGCTCCTTACAAAAAAAATCTACAATTTCGGGGCACACAGATACTGGGGGTGAGGACCTTGGGAATCATAGTGTGAGACTTTATTCCAGACATCCTCTAAGAAACACAAAACTATCTGAAAACATGTTTGAGATAAATGCAAATTTTCTTTAGATTATCTGTCAATTGTAAACTATCTGGCTTAGGAAGGATTTTCTTGTAAAACTCAATTGCAGAAGTCAGGCTGCATGTCTGTACAGGAATGGTTCTGAAGGAAAAAGTAGAAATACTTGTTTGTTGCAGTGCTACTTCTCATGCTCTACTTACTATTGTTTAATGCTTTTTGAGTTGAGTTTTTAATTCTTTAGAGAAAATGAGAATCAGGATGCATGTACTCTTAGTGCTACATGTGACTACACCTCAGAGAAAGCTCAAACTGCAGCATTCTCCCACTCACACATGCACTGCAAACTGAGTTCATCACCTGAAAGGCAGCTGCAGACTGTCCTGACTCCATGCCCAGTGGTGAAGGAGCTAGGAAAGAAACAAGTGAAGCAGTAGCTATTTTTTTGGGTTTTTTTTAAAAAGCCATTTTTTTTTTTTAATAAAGCAGAGAATATCGGTGTGACAACATACGTGAAATAAGTTGCTACATTTTATTTTCCTCAGCTTCTAACAGTTCTGCAAGGCTAAATAACTGAGCATATGATTCCATACCTAAAAAATGTTTATGGATACAGATTGAAGAGAAATCCCTACAATGGCAGCAATACATGGACATTTTGTTTTTTCAACTTAAATTGCATTGCTCTTTGAAAGACACTAGAAGAAATTCACTAGGGGGAAGTAATTTGCAACTGGGAAAGACCTATTCTAAAAATGAACAGAGTGCCTAAACTGCTAAAACTCTTGTTAAAACACCCAGATTTACCAAGCAATCTACCTGAAAAGCACAGGCATTTGAAACAAGGTAATTTTATTTAGCCTATGGCTGATAATAAATCACAGCTCTTCTGCCTGCTTCTTTCTTCCACCTGAGGTAGATTAACAATTAGGAACTATGCCCAAATGACCCACAATAATTTGCTCAACCTAAAACTTCACAGAATTTTTTTAACTGCAAAATTGCTTGATCATAAATAAAACTAGTAAATTCATCTTCTACAAGCTAAAAATTACTGTAAATCAAAATAAAAGGGCATGTAATGATTGCATCATTAACTATGCTGCTGCAATAGTGACTACAAAGACTGGACAAACTCCTCTGCAAGAAGTTAAATGCTTAAGGTCAAAATGAAAATGTGGCTATGAACAATGTGCTCTTCCACATTTTTCCTCTAAATCAAAATAATGAAAAATAAAATTGAAAAGCAAGTAATTTAAAAATGTATTTTCTTAGAAATACACTCTTACAGGTTCCCCTTTTACAGCTCAATAACCAGTTCAAACCAAATGAGGCCTTGTTTTGCAGAACCAGCCACCTAAAATAAACATGCAAAAAGGACAGGAAAGTTCAGAAATTAGTGCTGCAGGAGTGTATGAATAGAACAGCAAGTGACAGCTTTGGAAGTCTGCTTTCCAAACAGCAGAATCTGCCCTCAATTCTCCCAGGATAGAGCCCGTAGTTAAATCAAAACATGTCTGAATACAGGTGTAATCCACATTGAAAGCTTATAGATGTGGGCACACTCTTCTGCCAGATAGGCCATACTTCAAAAAGGCTTTAACTCATAACACTAACAGCTCTTAAGCTGTTATCTGTTTTACTTCTCACACCTAATCTACAATAATTTGGAAACACTGCAAATAATTATACAATTTTAAAATTACATGTAATACTGAATGGTAGGATAAAGAAACATTTCATGAAAACTTTACAAGGACAGTTGAACACCAGAATGCAAAATAAAGTCACTCAGCATTTTTTATTGGTCTCAGCCATCACCTGCAAGTGCACCACAGTGGTGCTAAAACTGTAAAGGCCTAAAGATAAGAAAAGCAACAATCTCTTAATCAAAAGTTCTTGATACTGGGAATGAAAATCATGGTAGTGGTTCAGGCTCAGAGTTGTTCATCCAGGCTGACAGTGAGTTGGTTCTTGTTAGAGCTGAGGAAAAAGCTCTAAGTCCAAAGATACATTCACTTTTTCTAAGTAACTTAATTTAATAAAAGCATAAGGCATTCTGTAATTTTAACAGTTTGAATTACAAAGTTATTTCAGGAAACCCTTTCTTTCTGTATCTATCCAGACAATGGACAAAGGATTTACATGAAGTTGTAACAATGATCCTTCTGCAGAGACAACACATAAATCAGATAAAGGCTCACAGATCTGACCTCACTTCTCCAGGAGATGCCTTTCAGCACTTTCTCGATGCAGCTGCTCCAGAACAACACCTCCGTGTTCACTGCAGGCAGAGCTCTCCAGCAGGCTGGCTGCCAGCCCCTCGCCTCAGCTCCATCTCCTGCTGCCCCACATCCACCGGCTTTCCGCACGGGGAGACCTCCACAGCCCTCTCCCACACTGGGTCCCAGGAATTTGGGAAGAGCACTGTAAGTGTGAGTAGTGCCTGAGCAGGTCCACAATGAAGAGCACAGGTACGCAGGCACAGCTGCCTGGGGTGCACTCTGAAGGCACGGGAAGGGATGCTTGGCTCACGGCTCTCCACAGTGCCCACAAAGTCTTGTATTCCATCTCTAGCCCCGCAGTATGGTTAGAGCACTACAGATAACAGCAGCCTTATCAACACAACCAGCGAGCTTCAGTAGAAGAGCGGAGATGCCACCTTGGAACATAAAAAGCTGGGTGCTTTTGAAGGATCTACTGCCCGTATTATGGATTCTTTGCCCCCTCAGATTACAGTCTGAGGGGAGGGAAATTGCTGTAGTAGAGAACTATAACATGAAGGCATCCAATTCAGGCTCTCATTTTGTACTTAAGGTTAAAAAAATGTTCTCCTAAGAAACAGGATCACTTGCATTTCCTGGAGATGGGCACAATTACTAAATGTACACTTACATCAAAACAAAGCCTGGAGTTTAAGTCACTTGCCAAAATATTACACTCTCCCCAAAATCAAAGGAGTTCTTTTTTTTTGTAAAACTGAGTATCACTGGCAGGGCCTGACAGTCAATAGGCTGATTAAGAAAGAAGGTTCTTTGTAACTGCACTGTAGAACAGTCTGTGTAAAAAACATGCTAAAGATAACCTTGAATATTGTGAGAGAGTCTAGCAAAACAGAACAAATAAACTGTGTTTTTATGAGGATTTTTCTTCTCCCTTCTTTCAGAAGGAAGGAACTGCAGACTAGAGTCACACAACTTACACAATACCCTAAACCCAAAGTCACATCACCTGCCTTCAAAGTTGCCAATGGGTCTGGCTGAGTACAATCTCACTGTTCAGTACTGCTCATGAACTGTCATACAGATAATAAAAAATAAATTCATGAATATGGACAAGTGGGTGTAATATTCAGGCATGTGCTACACGTACACAGTGGTGAAAGGGAACTCAGCTGTCGATAAGGCACTATTAACATCTATAAAAAACTTTACAACTAAGCTTATAAAAATCTCTTTTCCTATGGCTACAAAACAAGCAGTGGTATAACATTTTTACACAAAGGTTATTTTCAGCATTCTAAAGCATTGCTAAAGCTCTGGACAAACAATTCATCACTGAAAACGGTTTGTAGCTTTCAGTAAATAAATTAGTGTGTGGGTGCAACCAGAACTGTATGGCAGTACTATGGCAAACAGAGACTGAAGTTACTTGCAAGACCATAGTCACATTTCTGTGAGAGAGAGTGAAACTAAGCTGGGAAATCAAAACAGAGATCTGAAACACACACAAGTGACAAGATGAATGTGATGTCAGCTACCATATGCAAGAATCAAAGAATGGAATTTGTACACCAGTTATGAAAACAGGAAAGCTATAGTTGAATCTACTTAGATTTAAAATGGACCCCATTCATCTGCAGGAACAGGCTATAAGGGTAGCTTGAAATCTCTCAACTGTAACAGAAGTAAAAGCTTGAATTAAAACTAGAAGAAAACATCTAAATTTTTTTCATTCTTAATTTTTTAGCAACTTAAAATCAGAATTGCAACCTAAAGTCATTGAGCTCTGAGGTGATTCAGGAAATTAGAAAGACAACAGAATAGAAATTTTCCAAGAATTAGTATTCATCGTGCAACAGAAAAATTCTTGCTTTGGTTCTCTTAAAGGAGAACTCCAAAACACTGTCATGACTTCATTCATTCTGTATAACTTCATTAATTCTCCCAGCCCTCCTATTCCTATAAAATACATGCAAAATGTATACCATGCATATATCAAGTAACCTCAAGACCAGGTAAATACTGAAAAGGTTTTCCAGTTTTGTGTGAATCCCATGACCCTCCATCTATCTCACATATAATCTAGCTGCATTGCTATTGTAATCAAAAAGTATGTTGCACTCACTTAACAGTTTTTTACTTAAAAAACCCTAAAACAGAAGAACTTCAGAATACAGAAATATGTAGGATTACAACCCCCCCTTTTGCAAGTTCCTTATGGAGCTTGAAAACCTGTACATTTTCCTTCTGGAATTTAAATATTTTCTTTGCTTGCTCTTACTTTCAACATAAAACACCACCTATGCTAGAAGATTCTGTAGGTGGTTAAAAAATTAAGTGATTATGACTTTAGAGATGATTAACCTAAGATTTAACATGAGATGTGAACTTTTATTCTGTTTTACCCTTTCCACCTCAGTCTGCCTTGATAAGGATTCAACAATTCTGCCTCTTTATTTAAAACAGTGAGAACTACTAATGCACATCTGACTCATGCAAAACAGAGAATATACCAGACTAGAAATTTTATTTTAAAAATGTAAAGAGCTGGACGAGTTCAAAAATATTTCTGAGAGAGAGTAGGAAGAAAACATTTCAGAACACCTTCACAACTTATGTATGTTGTAATAAGGTACAAATTCATTTCTTTTTTATTCTGTACATGGCATGTCCAACTGAATAATCATTAGAGAGAGAATAGTTATGGCCTTTAGTGTAGCACCTGAAATGGCTTCAACAACTTATTGTTCAACATTTCAAATCAGTCTTCACAATGAAGAACTAATACAAATATTTCCTAGAAAAAGAACACCAAGCTTGTGATTTTTACTATATACTACTGATCACTTCCAAACCCACACATATGAATTTATCTACAGACATGAGACTTTAATTGGGGACCTACACTGACCAAGGCCTTTAAAAACAGAGCATGAATTTGCAACTCTCAATACTTCATGTATTGAGTATATCATCACTTTGCATATGTGATTTAACCTATCTTCTACAATTTTAATATAAAACAGCACAACTGAGATACAATAGAGATACAATAATCAACAGTTGCAAATTCTTACCCTGAACAACATCTTTTCTTACCTGAAGAGTTCAAACATTATCAGCGCCAACTGGAGTCCATTAATGTTCAGTAAGAAAAAGTCTAGATTTACTCATGCCATTTACAGATTATAACTTCTTTTTCAAAATTAAACTTATCCTGAGAATCCATGTAGCTACTTTGAGTTCTGCTAACAGAGCAGTTACATTGAGTCACATCAAAGTTCCATCTACTTTGCCCATTATCCTACTCCAGACATTGGCTGAAAGTGGACACCTGGGGAAGGGTAAAGGAATGATCAAGACAACAGCCAAACACTAGCCCACTCTGCAACAATTTGCTACAGGGGCCACAGATAAAATCTTTATATTTATCAGTCTTCAGTGAAGTATTTTTTCTACAAACTTACTCAGTCACTCCTTGAACTGATAAAAGTTTAACATTCTGTGCCAAGAACTTCTACACACTTAACTGCCCATATCTGAAGAATAATTTCCTTTCTGTTCGTTCAAAAACTGCATGCAAGCTTCCTCTGTGGGTAGAAAAAAAAAATTGCTTTTTTCATTTCACTCACCATTTAATATTCTCCACGTAATTTTTCTCAATAATTTTATTCTTTCTGAGATGAAAACCATATTTAAGGCACGAGATGGTGGGTGCTTATTTACTATTTCCTTTCCTGACAGTTTCTAACATCATCCTTAGAGTCCTTTTACAGCACTGAGCTGTGACTCCTGTGGACCCAGCAGTCCTCTAACACTGATAATAATTGCACTAGATCCCATCAGTAAAATGTCAAAAGTTTTCCCCCCATGAGCTTCATTTCACATTTCCTACACCTTTATGCACATTATTTCCTTCTTGTAGCATTTTTTCTGAAATTTTTTCAGCAATCCCCCAATTTTACTACCCAGACCATACCAGTATGACTGTGGTCAAATTCCCTACTTCAATTTTTTCACCTGCCTCCTCTCTCTAGCCAAATCTACAAAAAGCCCCCAAAGCAAAACCAATCAGGTAACTTTTCTTTCTTACAGGTTAAATGCAGTGAACAGAAGAGTCACCAGTGAAACAGCTGAAGCAAGACAGGACACAGAACACCACCAGAAGAAGGAATCAACACCTTCCCTTCCTTCCCATTTTTGACAGCAGGAACAGCTCAAATGTTCTTCCCTTTTCCTTTCCTGGGGATGAGAGTAGATCTGTGGCTCAGTCACACATATGAGGTCAACCCAAGCTCAGTGCTGCTGTCACAGAGGCAGTCTGCTCTCTCTCATAGCCATGGGCACACAGCCCTGCCCCTGCACCAGCTCCAGCACTCCTTTGGTCACGTTTTTTGGAAGTCGTTCTAACAGGCTGAAACATAACAGGCCAGTTGCAAAGTAAGTGCAAATGCAGACATAACCTGATGTGGACAGAGGATGGATAAGTTATTTCAGTGGTAATGAGCTCCTGGATTTGCTGTTATTCAGCGTATCTTTTGAGTGATATTTATTAGAATTATCACTTTAAAATCTGTACAATTCACTTGCATCCAGTTTGATCATTCCAGTGAAAATGACTTATGCTTCTTTCCAGGCACTTGCCCTGCCTGTGTTTGTTTTCACACCACTATGCCATGAAGCTTCCTAATCCAGACAAAAACCTGCTCCCATTCTCTGTGGCAATTTTCAGGCTCATCAAACCTTCATCTAACTGATTACAACACAAGCACTGGTGCCAGCACTAAAGATAAACAGAAGAAACCAGTGCTGGGTATAAGGCAAGACTAATCACAGGCTTAAACCTCCTGTGAAACTGTGGCCTTGTATGTTTTCAATATGAAATGTCTTCTCTGTGGAATTTTACACAGAACCTTAAGAAAAATGCAGTAACACAAACAGTACAAATGGCTTAAAGGGTAAATACACATAGTTCATTGTGAACTCACAAAGAACAAAACTCAGGTGAGCTGGGTGATTCATCCTAACCTTTCTCTGGCCAATGATACTGAAATAAATATATATACACACACATAAACCTTCTAGTACTCCTGATCTGCGCAGTATGACTCTGTATTGAAAATCATTAGCACTCTATGTACATTTCAGCATCATCTTAACCAAGTCTTATTGACCTGATTAATTCAACATTCTGTATTATAAATTATGATAAAGAAACACAGCATTTTTTAACAGATACCCTGCTTTGAACAATGTTGAGAGTACATACATGACTGAATATTTGATAATGACAGGTACTGTATGCATTTGAGCTGAAACAATTACTAGAGGTAAAGTAAAACTTTACTTACTTAGATTAAGTAAAAATTACATTTTACTATACTAACAGGGTTCCTTTGCCAGGTGTTGCCTTTCGTCTCAGAATGAAACCCAATCATGCAATATTTTTAGTCACTGTTACTTGAAGGCCCCTCCTTTTAAACTGCTTCAGAGAGAGCAAATGCCATCACCCTAAGTCACCTTGTCAAAAGCTCAGTGACTTGCACATATTCTTCTACTCCCATAAAGAGCTATCAACAAGGCAGCCCGTTGCTAAAACTTAGATCAAATGTCCTTTCATACTAGCATGATCTAGCTATGTACTGCTCTAACTTTAAAGCTTAAACACCTTTCCTGCAATAAAAACATAACATTTTGGACACAGTGAACTTGAAAACATTATTATGGTCTGTAACAGCTACTTTCATGTTTCAAATGAGTCTCTGACAGTTCTTAGATCTCCAGCTTCTGGCTGACATACTCAAATCATTGAAATGGTCAAAAACACATAAAATAATTTTCTAGGGTATTTTGGTGGGGTTTTCTCTTACAACTCAGAAAATATTTTCTTGAAAGTGTTACTGTCAAACTATGGTTAAAATGTAGAAAAATTGTTCATTCCAAGACTGGTCTAAAAAAGCCATTATATTGATTACAGATCACAACACCTTTTCTCATTCCACAAATAACTGGTTTTTGCCATGCATGATACATTCAGGAGGATGTTATACTGAACATATCATTACTTCATATGAATTCTAACAGGAATGCCAATGCCTTGCTTTAGCATATTCTCCTTTTTAGAAATACAGAGGCGATGCATCACATGTGCTGGACATGTAATCTTTGTGGGTTAAAATGTCACATATTTCTTTTTTAAATATCAATGACTACATTGCCAAAACTTTATCAAACAGAAACAGAATGCCTTAAAAGTCTAACAGGTCCACTGCTGCCAGTAAGAACTGCTGAGACAAGAAATCAAACGCCTTATACCACACTGATTGTGGTTGTTGATCTGTGAAATGGAAGATGCTGGATTAATTAATGCTGAAAAGAAACAGTAAAAACGGAAAACATAAAAATGCAAGGATAGCAGCTGTCCTGGACACTTCTCAAGAGAAGCAATAAAATGTCCTGCTCATGATGTTCTTATCAAACAACCAGGATCCAGAAGGAAAAAAAAAAAAAATGAAGTCTCAACTTTCATCCCCCCAAATTGGAAGGAACAGGGTGATAAGGCTCTACAAGAGCCCTATCAGACCAAATGAGCCTGTTTTGTAGGTGAGCTCTTTTGCCACATCAGCCTTCAAGGAGTGGCTGACTTTGCAATTCCTGAGTGGGAACCACGTACTCAAGAATATTTCATACTTTTTCTTACCGCTGTTTCATTTTAATGTACCTTACATCCAAAATACCCACGCAGTATGTTAAGGTGAAGTTCACACTATCTAATAATTAAGATGAAAAAGTGTCTGCCTACGTAGCAGGTAGACATTGAAGGATTAATAAATAACTCAGATGGAACTATGCATGAACTTTATTAGGCATTTGATTATTCAATATGGTGAAAGACATTCCACCATATTCTTACTTAATACAAATGAGCTGCTATCTAGATCATCATATTCTTCTATGCCAGAATTTCTGTTAAAACCTGAAATTTCAATTACAACATTTTCTTTAAACTAATGCTATAATGTTTGCCAACTGCAGCTATAATGGCAAGGACTACAAGAAAAAAGTACACAAAATAATGGTGAAGCACTAAGGCTGCCCTAGAATAGTAACAAGAGAATCTTAGGTGAAGTTTTAAAACCTAAACACGAATGTTATTCTCCCATCAGCACTCAGGCTCTGGCACTTACCTGATTCCTCAGTGAACTAACTCAGCTCACTGTGGTGGAAAGCCTTCTGGGCAAAGGGGACTTCTGAGGAATGCTGGACAACTCATTTGGGCTGTAAAACACTGAGGCTGCAGTGAGCCCTTCTCACAGAACCACACACCATAGGTATTAATCCCCTCTAGTTCAGTGGGAAGCATAAGGAATCTGGGTAAGCCTGTCATGTCACCAGCACCAAAATCCTGTTACAGGATTTGCCAACGGGAAATCCAGCAACTATCCACCTCAAAGACAGCTGGGACAGTGTAAAATATCACCAGCTCTCTAGGTACTTGTTTCTGTGCAAGAAATCAACCTTCCTGTAGGAAAGCAAACAGAACAGGGAACAAATACTATACCCATAAATCATTAATCATTAAGTCCAGTACTACCAGATACTAATTCCCTAACAAGCCTACAAAGATCCAAGGAGGGCAGCAGCACTGCCACAGTAATCAAGCAATCCTCACATTCACAAGCTTGGCTCAGTTCGGGTGTGCACACACGCAGTGAGCACCTGCCAAAAGCTACAGAACAACTGCTGTTTCCTGCTGTAACACCAAAAAAATCCAAGAAAGCACAAGCTTCATCAAAAAGTAAACGAAAGTATGTTAAAACCAGCAAAGAATTATCACAGCCATGTCTTAGTTCCTCACTGATCAATAACTGCACAACACAATATGGAGAAAAAAAATGACAGTAAAAATGGTCACAAGACTGATCAAAATGGCCTAGAAGTTAAAGCAGTATGAATACAACTGTCCAATAACCAAACACAGGCCTTATGCTTTGACTGTCACAGGCTGGCATCATTTCAGCCACAGCACAATCAGATCCTGAGGGACAGTAATGACTTTTGGTGCTCTGCTTAAAACCCTAAGGACTATCCAAATAAATAGTTATTGATGAGTCCTGGAGGGAGACAGATCAAGCTTTCCTCAGGCAAGGATGTTCTAATCATCAGCCTGCTAAAAGCTAAAAACAAGAATATTAGATGGGGATAGATACCTTAAATCAATGTGGGAATAAATTAATGCTGCTAATTGAAACTAGAGTTTTGCCTGCTTCAGTCAGTATCTGCTTCTTTTAGCTAATGCTTTAATGTTTGCAAACTGAAAGTGTAACAACAGTGGAAACAAGATAAGGAGTCACTGAAACAATGCTGAGGTATTAGGACTGACTTAAAACAAGAGCAAGAGAAGACCTGGTGAATTTTTAAATTTTGTTTAAAAAAAGAAGGAGATACTAAACTAAGCTAAACACATATATACTGTGCTTTTACATTTCAAAAAATTTCTCAAAACTGAAATACCATTCTTTCTAAAAAAAAAAAATTTGAGGGAAAAAATCCTTCTCTTCAGACAATAACATACCATGTCTCTCCATACTTGCTTGGAAGAAACATATATATGCATCTTTCATACTTAGAATCCCAGTCTTTAAGAAAAATCAAATTACTTGAAAGAAAAGTTCCAAACAGACAAACCACAGGCATACAATTAAAGACATGCTAGTAATCTCCTGTGAATAAAATACTCCATGTTTATATTGTTAATGAACCTAATTACACTACAGCACCACCATCATAATTATGTTTATGGATTCCAGCTCAACAAGAGCCCAGATTGTCCTGAAGTATGCAGATACAACCACTTGCAGCTGACTGAAACTTAAAAAGAAAAAAGAAACCTTGAGCAGTGCACAATATGACCTATGCAAACCACAGTATATTCAACAAATTTTGGAAAAATTAAACTAGTCATGTCAGCAATACTCAAACAGTAATTAGTAATATCTAGATATATCTGCCAAATTTAACTGGCAAGAAGCTCATAAAACTAAGAAATCTATACTGCCAAATAAAATATTTACTGCAACAGTATGATGACTCAAAGCATTGACACTGTCCACACAATACCCTTGTCATTAAACTAGAGGGACATGAATTTGACAGACTGATCACTTGTGGATAAGGAACTGGCTGGATGGATGCCCTCAAAGGGCTGTGATCAACAGCTCCATGTCCAAGAGGAGAGCAGTGAGGGCTGGGGTTCCTCAGGGGTGGGTGCTGTTTAACACCTCTGTCAGTGACAGGGATGGAGCCCACCCTCAGCACGTTTGCCAACACCACTGAGCTGTGTGGTGCTGTCTCACTGCAGGGAAGGGATCCAGAGGGACCCTGAGAGGTGGGTCTGTGAGGACCTCATGGTTCAACACAGCTGAGTGTAAGGTGCAGCACCTGTGAAGCACAACCTCAAGGCAATCTGAAGCACAAATATGGCTGGGCAGAGAATCGATTGAGAGGAGCCCTGAAGAGAAGGATTTGGGGGTGCTGGTGAATGAGAAGCTTGACACAAGCCAGCAATGTGTGCCTGCAGCTCAGAAAGCAGATTGTCACCTGGGCTGCATCCAAAGCAGCACAGCCAGCAAGCTGAGGCACTTCTCCCCCCTGACTCCGCTACTCTTATGTCCACGTGGAGTACTGCGTCCAGATCTGGGACCCCCACCTTAAGAAGGATATAGGTCTGCTGGAAGGAGTCCAGAGTAGGCCACCAGGATGATCAGAGGGCTGGAAGAGCCCCTCTGCTAAGCAGACAGGCTGGGAGAGTTCTGTTCAGCCCAGAGAAGAGAAGGCTCTGGCATCACCTTAGAGACCCTTCCAGTAGCTAAAGGGAGCTGAAAATGAACTTTTTACAAGGACATAGAGTGACAGGACAAGGAGGAATGGCTTCAAACTGAAAGAGAGCAAGTTTAGTGAGTATGCTGAAGTACTGCAACAGGTTTTCCAGACAAGCTGTACCCCAAACCTGGAAGCGCTCATGGCCAGGTTGGATGGGGCTCTGAGCAACTTGGTCTCAAGTGGAAAGTGTCCTTGCCCATTACAGAGAGGTTGGAACTAGATGGTCTTGAAGGTCCCTCCCATCCGAAAGCATTTCCTGATTCCATGAAGCATTCCTCTCCCTTACATTTCATTTTTCACCTTTGTAAAATAAATTGTGCACTTCATGGTCCCTAGTAATTTGCATTGAAGTCAAATCAACATAGAAAATAAGATGACTTACAAACTCTCAACTTTATATCTTCCTACCTAGCTAATGATTCAATCCCAACAAATCACCTCCACTGACATTTTGCTGACATCACCCACACCACTACAAAACAGCAATTTAAATCCTCCAATCTGGCACAAGGAAACCAATCTGTATTTCACCAAAGCTCTAACAGTTTCTAGTACATTCCACGAAATAACATTTTAATTAAAAGCAGACTTTTGCATTGCTATGGAATTATGGGATTGAATGCTAACAGCAGCAACAAACGTGCCAAAATATAATTAGAAAAACTTGATAACTCCCAGTCTTCTCTTATCTTTTAAATTACAAAACTCTGATTTTCAGCTCTGGAGGATTTACTTTAAAAAGTATTAAATTACTTGGGAACAAAGGATAAAATTAGATGTATCATGCTCATGGCTTTGGGACAAAAGGTCAACTATGCTCTTAACCACTTCCACCTGTAAAATAGTACGTAAATAAACAGTAGCTGCCCGTAATGCCTCATATTTGCTGCACTTCACAGAACCATAGACTCACAGAATTGTTTGGGTTGGAAGGGACATAAAAGCTCATCCAGTTCAAATTCCCTGCCATTGGCGAGGACACTTCTGACTGGGGGCAGGGGACTGCTCTGTACCCAGTCCAGTCTTGCCTTGCACACCTCCAAAGAAGGGCCATGAGGATGGTGAAGGGTCTGGAGGGGAAGCCACATGAGGAGAGGCTGAGATCACTTGGTTTGGTCACCCTGGAGTAAACTGAGGGAAGAACTCACTGCAGTCTTCAACTTTCCCATGAAGTAAAACAGAGGGGCAGGTACTGATCTCTTCACTCTTGCAACCACTGAGGGAATGCCCTGAAGTTGTGTTGGAGGAGGATTAGGCTGGCCATCAGGAAAAAATTCTTCACCCAGAGGGTGGTCAGGCACTGGAAGAGGCTCCCCAGGGCAGTGGTCACAGCACCAGCCTGACAGAGTTCAAGAAGTGTTTGGACAATGCTCTCAGGCCCATGGGGTGACTCTTAGGGTGTCCTGTGCCGGACCAGGAGATGGACTCAATGATCCTGATGGGTCCCTTCCAACTTAGCATTTTCTAAGATTCTATGATAATACATTCCTCCTCCAATCAATTAAACTACTCACAAGAATCCATTTACAGATGGCAGTATGCACAATACAAATCACCAAGGTTTAGGTTTCAATAAAAATAGCTGTAGCCCACTAATTATTATAATGTGCCTATCCTAACAAAAACACAATGCTATGTATTTTACAAGTAAACCCTTGTGCACCAGTATCTAAAGAATCTCTAAGCATGGAAAGGAAGAAATTGTTATCAGGAGGAAACAACATGGATTTAACGCGAGGAAATAATGTGTGACCAATCTGATACCTTCCTACGATGACATGCCTGGCTTGGGATGGTAACTCAACCAAAGAGTGACAAGAAGAATGAAGGCTGGAGTGGGAGCTAAAGGGAAAGCTCTACAATTAATCTCCCACTGTATTATTTCCATATAGAACCCCACTGCAATTCAGTCTCAGACTACTTTTTGCAGGCAATAGTACACACATGAACTACTAGTTGTGAACAAAAAAACAAGGTCTTAGAAGTAATTTAGAGAACCAAGACATTTTAAGTCTCAGCAGCTTTCAGGAGTTAAGAAAGGTAGGTTTTTTTCACCTGAATCATACAGGTTCAGAACAATGGAGCAGGGTGATGAAGCACCACACGAAAACCTAGTGAAGCTTTCTAGAGAAGAAAAGCAACATTTAGAAGGGGGAATAAAAGCTACAACCAAAACCCAGGATGGTCTTAATCAAAACACTCTTGCCATAAAGAAATCCAGTGGAAACCTGGCAGAAGCCTTGAAAGACAGATCTTAAAGCAGCTCACACCTGTCCAAGGGAATGATCTGACAAGAACTATTTGCAGTAAAGGGCAAGAGTCCTCAGATACCATACAGAATGAGCTGGGAACAAACTGCACTGTCCAGAAAGTTAATAAAGGTATTGTAGTACACATAAAGAATTCTTTTTTTGAAGTTGTATTTTAGGTATAGAATTCTAATCCTACAAATTTTATGTCTGTGATTGAGCTACTCTCTAAGCATTCAGTATTTGGCTGCAGTCAAGGCTGAGACTTGGGCTGAATAGCCTCCTTTCAGTCTCAGTAAAAAAGGAACATTAGGTCTTTTACACAACAGCTGAAAAAGCAGAAAAAAAAAAAAACCCAGCAAAAAAATGCTGTGCCTGTGATTCCAGGAGAGAGTTGCGTGGGGTTTTTTGGGTGTTGTTGTTTGAATTTTAAGGGGTTGGTTTTTTTTTTTTTAGTACAGTACTTGCTAGACAGGCAGACTTGAAAACATCAGCAAAATAGCTGCTTGTTGCACTTTGTTTCTACTCTGCTCAAGCAAATGAGCTCTGTTTACATGTTTTGTGTAAATAAACAGCACTGCACATATACACAAACACAACCTTCAAATCATATATTTCTCTTCCTGAGAAGAACAACTTGGCAAAGTCTCAAGTATTAGCTATCTCCTGGGCTCTGAGAGTAGAAGTAATACATGCCAGGTTTTCTGAATACTGATGTCAGATAGCCAGATATTGACTAACACACATTGTGGCTCTGTCTTCTGCCTGCTCAGCTACCTTGCGAAGGAGTTGAGCAGTGTCTTGATGTCTGCAGCTCAGATTAACAACTGGCCCTCCAGTCTACCTCAGAGACATAGCCTCGTTTAGAATGAGTAATATGATTCTTTTCACCTTTTTTAAACTGGCACTTTTTGACCACTATTACCAGACACGTCTTTTCTGGACCAGACCACAGAGTAGGATGTGAGACAGTTTATGCCCCAGAGGTGTTTACTATTATTACGCACCCCTATGTTATCTCAAATGGATTTTGCAACAAGCAAAGATTCCACTTCAGCAGAGTAAAGGAGCATTGCTTGGCTTTGGTCATGATTGAGCTTTGCCTTCATTAGATGTATGAGCCTGACACATCCAGCAGTGTATGTCTGAAGCACAGAGTATGCATCTAACACATGGTAAGAATATATATCACTTCCTTTCCAGAAACATAGGTCTAAAAACTAAATAAGAGTTATGCAGTAGACAAAGCTCTGTAATATTAAATCTCCAGAAGACTGAGAAGTAGTAGCAAAGCACTTGTGCATTTCATATCCTCAGTTAATTTAATATAATCATATATATAATTTCTCATATATATATATATATAATTTCATCATATGTATATAATTTCATATCATCATTCATATAATCTCATATTTGGCCCATATCAGATGGCCAAAAATACAAACAGACCTAGATCCAGTTTTGACAGGTGGTACTAGGCCCCTGGGAGACCAGTGCTAGGTTATCTGATTGAAAACTAACCATAACAGAAACCAATCCAGCAAGGATCAGAAGCAAAACAGCAGGTCAACCCTAACATCCTCAACAGCTAAAAAATGGAGCATGTGAATCAGCTACTCCTACGACTGTCAATTAGACCATATTCCCCCAGTGTGAAACCTACCAAGATGAGTCAAAACTCTTCCCAAAAAATACCTTGGAAACTAAAGGTTATTGCCTTAGGGGGTATGGGACTTATTATGGAATTAAGAACATTTTGGAATTGTACAAGACTTACCATAGTACTGTGAGAATACACAAGATGCTATGAAATGTTCAGAGGAGGGTATTATGCATGGAGGAAGACCAGTATAAAAGTGGGTAAGGAAGAAATAAGGGAAAATAGCAAGGAAAAAGGGTAAATGAGGCAGGTCTAGTACAAATTAGTTTCTGCTCCATGCACTTGTGTGTCTAAACCCTGCCCTTGATCATGACAGTCAATCCTATATTGTCATTAAACCCTATACCTGTCTTCTTTGTGGATGCACTTTCTATTTTGAGTGTATATGTGTGTATATGTGAACTTAAGCCAATTTCAAGTCAGACTGGCCAGCAAGTAATTAAGGTCCAAGTGTCAGCAACTGAAGTGAGAACATGAACCTCGAGGGCTCATGCATTTAGGGGCCAGAAACTACTTAGAGCATTTAAAACTGGCTGGGAGAGCACACAGAGCTTTGTGTGTGAGTT